CATAGTCAAACGTCTGGATGGTCACTCACTGAACAGGTATCATTCATCGCAAATCCATATTTTGTGCCCAGAATTATCATCATCATTGCCGTCAGTAAACTATTAGGCACTACATGAAATTGATCAGTTTATAGAAGAATCAAGATTATCATGAGTCACAGCGCCGAAACCACTCATAGTTATCTGTTTAGTGCTCAAGTTTCTAGCATGACTAGCTGAAAGGTGCTCGTTTCATTTGCTTCAATTTTTGGCCACCACGACCGGCTGGAGGAAAATACTCACCACCTTTCTTAAAGTTTGGGCACACACAAATCCCCACCTTGAAGTTGCTGTCCTGAGATTTATCAAAAGATTCAATCAGAGATATAATTTCAATTCCAGGATCCATACAACAATATCATCCGTACGACAATCGAAGCAATGGCCTCGGTATTCGGTGGAACCCAATCACTGCACACCAACTCATTCGATGAAGCTTTAGGTCTACCCACACCATTCTCAGCGCGTATTGCCCGTAACACTCAAATTATCATCCAAGAGGAATCTGGCATCTGCAGGGTTTGTTTTAGTTTAATGTAGATTGACTGATGCTATTATTTGATAGCGTTGCTATTATTGAATTGATGGGTGTTACTCGAACTTTATTGTGCTTGTTTAGGTAGCTGACCCATGGGGTGGATCATACATGATGGAATCACTGACCGATGAGCTGTATGAAAAGGCCCACAAGGTTTGTCCCCATTATTATTGTTGTCCTGATCGAATACGTGATCACCTATAAATGGCACATCGAATTCTGTATTATTACTGCCAGTTCACAAATCGCCATTGCCATCGTAAAGAACCGAGATGCGATGTAGAAATCGCAATCAAAACGTTATCGTTCGAATGAGCAATCACTGCGACCTTCCTGCAGATCATCGATGAAGTCGACGAATTGGGTGGTATGGCTAAGGCTGTCGCAAGTGGTATGCCAAAACTTCGTATCGAAGAGGCTGCCGCCAAGAAGCAGGCACGTATCGACGCCGGTAAAGAAGTGATCGTTGGTGTGAACAAATACAGACTTGATAAGGAGCAGAAGATCGAAGTTTTGCAAATTGATAATGCCAAAGTGCGTGAAAGTCAGATCGCGAAGCTGAAACACATCAAAGAGACCAGAGATAAAGTTCGACTTCGTTTCTTGTTTTGTTTTCGTTTATTATCATCATTCTCATTCTTATCATAACTGCTGTGATTGTTGGAGCTGTTATAACAGATATTATCAAATTTATAGGACCGTGCACGAAGAGCGTTGGAGAATATTACCGAAGTGGCGAAAACGAAGGGCAATTTGATGGAAGCAGCAGTAGAAGCTTCCAGTGCCAGGTGCACGGTCGGTGAGATCAGTGATGCTATGGAGAAAGTCTTCTCCAGGTACCTTTTTCATTCTCCCATTTTCCTTTGAAATTTTCATCGAGCCTTCTTCAATTCTTATGAGATCATCTCAATTTAGTTTCCAGATATATTCATTTATTCGTTCAAGTTGCTGTCTAATCAATATGAGTTACGCAACGATACATCAGAATTTTAGAAGATATTCTATGAATTCTTCAAAGATACATGTCAAAAAATTATTATTGATATCACCCGTAATGCTATTGTTGGGTTCTTTTTT